CGTCTCGGTGCATTCTCATGTCTAGTGTCTTAATCAGTTTATGAATTATGGTCAAGTGCTTAACTTCATCATTCATTCGAAAATTAGGTAGTTGAACACTCACCTAGGGTGTGCTCTTAAAATCTAGGAAGCCTACATTGAAAATTAGGTAGATGAACTCTCACTTATGATGTGCTTCTAAAATCTAGGAAGCCTACACTGAGGATCAGGTAGATGGACTCTCACCTATGGTGTGCTCATAAAATCTAGGAAGTCTGCACTGAGAATCAGGTTGATAGGCTCTCACCTAGGATGTGTTCCTAAAATCTTGGAAGCCTGCACTGAGAAATATGTAGATGAACTTTCACCTCGGGTGTGCTCCTAAAATCTAAGAAAACTACACTTTAAATTGTGCTTAAAGTGATTCAAGGTGTTCTACCTTCAATTAAGTGTTTTTTCAACTAATCTTCAAATATTTCTAAATGTCTTCTAAGTAATTAAATCAGAAATTTTCATTTTTTAGACTTAACCATTTAACAAAAGTAACAAAACAAATGAAAAGAGAAGGTTGACCCACTTTCAAAACTAACAAATCAAATGGGAGAAATAACAAGTGAATCAACCTAAAAGCGTTTAAAATCTTTTAACAACTGTAATTAAATAAACTCTCGAAAAGAGTGCTTAAGTTTGTTTCAAGACAGTGTTTTGATCGACCCAAAAGTCTTCCAATTGAGTAAGAAAAAAAAGAGGTTCAAAAGTCACCAAATAGATTCAGAAAAGTGCGAACAAAAAGCCATGGGATAGAATCAAGAAACACAACCCCTAAGCCGCTAGACCGACCCAAGAAGTGCAGCCCAACTAGTCCCTAAACAGTCCTAAAATCATGTATTTAAAGGCTTCAAAATCAGTGTTTAAGGGTTTCAAAACAGCTCTCAACTACTCCAAACAGCCATTTCACACTTCCAAACAACAACCTATAGCTTTCAACGACTCCAAACAGTCATTTTACAATTCCGAACAACAACTTATATCTCTCAACAACTCCAAACAACGATTTCACACTTCCAAACAACAACTTATAGCTTTCATGACTTCAAACAACCATTTTACACTTCCGAACAACAACCTATAGTGATCGACGACTCCAAACAACAACTTTGACATTTCCTATAACCTCCTACAGCGATCAACAACTCCAAACAACAACTTAGACATTTCCTACAGCTTCTTACAGCGATCGATAGTCTCAAACAACACTTATACAACCATTTCTCAGCCCAAAAAAGCACTAAACAACAGTCTACAACACTCAAACATCAATTTTAAGCAACCTACAACAGTCCTAAGCTTCCCACAGCTTTCAAACAACTACTTACAACAGCCAATAGCTATTGGCACCTCCAAACAGCAGGCCTACAGCAATGGACAACACCCAAACATTAGTTTTAAGCAATCTACAGCAGTTCTAAGCTTCCCAGAGCTTCCAAACAACTACCTACAACAGCCTATAACTATTGGCACCTCCAAACAGCTACTTCGACGCTTCCTACAACATCCCACAGCAATCGGCAACTCCAAACAACAACCTGGACACTTCCTATAACCTCCTACAGCGATCGACGACTCCAAACAGTGCTCATATTAGCCCAAGACAACACTTTCAAACAACTCCCAAATCAACCATTTTAAAAGCTTCAAACAGTATTTTAAAAGCTTAAAGACGGCACATAAAACAAGTCGTAACATCTTTTTAAAAGTCTGAAGTCAGCACTTAAAACAACTCCAAGCAACATATGTTAAGTCCCAAAAATAGCGAAAGTGTAAGGCAAAGAATAGTAAAAAAATCACAAGCTAGAATGACCTCCCGATCCTTCTTCAAGAAAATAAATCTAGTCAATACAACAACAAAAGTTTTCTGATCAAACACCTCAACCACTTCTTGTATGAATACAATAACAGACAAACTTTTGACGATATGAACAGATGTATGCCATTAAACTTGCATGTCTTCCCAATATGGACCTAAACTTACCTACTCTATGAGTGTTTCAATTCATAATAAACCTTAAAGAAGTGCAATTCATAATCATAACGGTAAAAGGTCAACAATAATACAACACATAATATTCAAAAATATAGCATAAGAAGTATGAATTTACCGAGCTTACTTGTTATCAGATTCATGGAGAAAAAAGTTGAGGGCTTGAAGTGTTGTTACTGTGATTATGCATCCATGAAAAACATTAGCCAGGATATACTAGAAGTTCTTTCCAGCAGATACCCGTCGAGTGTAGAGGAAGGGCAGAGCTTATCCGGGCTTCTACTTCGGGCCAAAGAGGAAAGGAGAGTGAAGGGAAACAGCGGGCTTCAGTTTGGTCGAGCGAGAACAGGGAGACAGAGGTGAAGGCTTCAGTCTTGGGAGGAAGAGAGAGCCCGATCCGACGTTTGGCTGAACGATGGAGAGCCAAGCGGGGAGGAGGGAATCGGGCCGAGAGGTAGGCGAGGTCGAGTCGGGAGAGGCCTCGATCGACAGAGGGAGGTCGAATGAAGGGAGTAGATTTTGGTGCAGAGGGGAGAAGCGAATTTCGGCACAGGGAGGAGGAGGCGAGATCAAGCGGTAGAGGCGAAGCAGGCCGGGAGAAGACGAGTCGAGCGGGATTTCTGTCGAGAGAGGGAGGCGAGCGCTGCGGGCTATTTGGCCTGAGGAGACGAGAGGCGAGCAACTTCGGTTCAGAGAGGAGTGCGGGGGTTCTGGTCGCACGAGGAAGAGGCGAGCAGAGCTTCGATGCAGAGGAGAGGAGTGCGGGATTGAGCGGTCGAGACTCCGTGGCGAGGAGAGGATCCGAATCTCTTCGTGAGAGGAAGATGGAGTCGAATGGGAGAGAGGAGCAGGTGAGGGGGGAGACCGAATGAATTAGGCGACGAGCGGGAGAGGAGTTCTCGGAGAGCGGGAGGAGAGGCTGAATTGTGTAGACGAAATGTGCAGTGAACCGTTACGAGGGAAATTAAATGATTTCCATTCAAGCAGCTGGTTAATTAGAATATAATAATGTCTAATTAAATTTAGTAAGAAGAGTTTAGGCGGGATAATTTAAAATTTTAAATTATGAAATTTCAAATTGTAAATTGGGTTATCGGCCCGACCCGACACAATTGGGTTATGTCTAGCCCGAATCTAACCCGGGTTGAGCCTAAACTCTTTTCCTTCAATTAAAATTAATATGCATCTATTTTCATACCATTTACGCTTGCCAAATCATAGCAATATGAGTGTCATTTCTAGCTAAAGTTGACGTTCTGGACGTGCCGGTGCGGTCCGTTTGGTCATTCAGGGTCGTCCGTACAAGTTCGCCGACGGTCGGGCAAAAAATGTGTCAACTTCGTGCGTGGTGCAGCGAGTACGTGAAGTGCTGCGTTTGCGAGTGTTCGAGTCATTGAGGGTTCACCTAAGGTTGTCTGATCCTGTAGGAACTCATTTTCGAATTCTCTACATGTTGGTCCTTAGCCCTAGCAACTAGAAGTTGAGTGCTTGGAATCACTCATGCGAGCTCTTCACAAAAATGAGTCGAGAAGTGGTTTGAAGTTCTACGGGAGGTGGGTTCCATCGCTAGTCCGCTAGGATGGTCAATAAGAACTCCTAAGGCTAGATTTTGGGTTATGGGAGTAAGAAACTAAGACCTCACTAAAAATGAGGTCAACATTGCTCACACTCGAACCAAATATTTTTAAAAAATACCACTTTGATACCATTTGTTAGGAGAGATGCAGAAACCGATTCGAGAGATCCGAAGTAAAATTTAGAATAGAAGCATACAAAACAAGAAATCACTGAAAATATAAAAAATACAAAAATTTAACATGGAAAAAACCGAGAATGGGAAAAAACCACGGAGTCACACCAGACCAAAAAATTCACTATGAAGAAAATGAGGAGCATAGTACAAATTACACCACACTCAAACCTCTTCATACTTTGAAACTTAAGAATACTCATTCCTCTCACCCTTACACAAGAAAAATTGAAATCTTGTTCTCAACACACACACCTTCAATTAGCAGAATAGAAACTTAAATCAGAGAACTGCACCAATACAATTACTGGCACTGGGCGCTGCAATAAAGCGCAATGGTGCTCCAAATGACGCTGACCTCCGGGCGCTGCAATGCCGTGCTCTCAGGTTTCTGAACATGGATTAGGCTCTGTGGAGTTGTTCTGCGCTCTTTCCGAGCTCCAGGGCATTGCATTTGGGGGCAGTGGAACCCTGTTCAGGAAATAAAATTATGCAGGGGTAGCGCTCTCGAATCCGAAATAGGGGGGACTGCCATTGTACCCCTCGGCAAGCTTACCATGAAGCTTCCCGACAAACTTACTGTCAAGCATGAACAGCGATTATTAAGGTTCTGAGTGAACAAATGATCAACTCAATTACACTCCACATAATAGCACTGATAATTTTATGTGAGAGCTCGTCATACTATTTATTCGTGTAAGATGATAATCAAGAAATTAGGCTACCTGCAGTTGTCAGCCTTAGGAAGAAATGAAACGATCTTTTAGCTTAATGGTCACCATATCATATTATTATGTAAGAAATGAGGCCAATTACTGTTTTCAGCCTTGTGAATAAAGGAAATAATAGTTTATTCAAATGTTTAATTTATAATGTAACATATTACATGTATTATATTTGGCGAATGAAATTTGTAAATTTGTGTTTCTACTAAGGGCAGTTTCCTAGATTTCATAATGTTTCAATTTGGCTGCCCCTCATTATCTGGACATTTGAGCAATTTCGGCTTTTTTTTCAACAATTGGAAACACGGTTATTTTAGATATATCAAGGATAGGCTATATATACTAGTACTTGATTGATTTGAATACGTTATTTTTACTCCCAAAATTCATTTTAAAAACTATTTTGTCTGTTATTTTTTTCTAATTCATGTCATGCTTCAAAAACATCTGATGTTTCTGCATCATGATGACGCTGATGTTTTTAATTTTATTCTTATTTGGATAGGCTCCTGGAGCCTATGGTCTTATGCAGTACTCTTTAGCGTCAATGCAAAATCAAGCTGCATTCAGTAATATGATTTCACCCGTTAGTCAAGGAAATGCAATACGTGGGACCAACCATGATCTCTCCCCAAGCACGGTACCTAGAAATTTTACATCAATGCAGTCTACTGGTTATGTAGGCGCTGGTTTTCCAGGTCTTCAGTATCCTCTTGCATACCAAAGTGGTATATTGAGCCACAGACATTCAAATAACTCTCATAATTCAAATCCACCTGTGAATGAGAATAACGTTGCTGCATCTTCTTCAAGCCACAGTACTGGTTCTGGGGGACAGATTGAAGGTTAACATAAGCTGCTAAATTACTGTTTGTAGAGCTTCCCGCATCTTTCATTTTTCTTTAACCTACTGATTTTTTTTTGTTTTTTTTTTCTCCCATCTGCAGGACCTCCTGGAGCTAATCTGTTTATTTATCATATTCCCCAAGAATATAGTGATCAAGAGCTTTCAAATGCTTTTCAGAGATTTGGCAGGGTTTTGAGTGCTAAGGTTTTTGTTGACAAAGCAACTGGTGCCAGTAAATGCTTTGGTAAGCAAATTGTGCTTTATTCACTTTTTTATCCGGAAGCACTTTCCTAAATTTCTCTTCCATCGTATCTTTGTGGCAGGTTTTGTAAGTTATGATTCACCAGAAGCTGCACAAGCTGCTATTGATGTCATGAATGGTTTCCAATTGGGTGGTAAGAAGTTGAAGGTACAGCTCAAGAGACATAACAAACTGAGTAAGCCTTATTGAAAATTAATCTCAAGGAAAGCGCTTTCGTTCGTAGAACAGTATCTATGATGGGCGACAAAAATTGATGATTTTATAGTTGTTTCCTCCCATCCGGCTGGATCTCAAGGTCATTCATTGGACAGTAAATATGGTGGAAGAAAATGGATGGGTTGGTTGTATATGATTATTCCATGTCCTCGGGTCTCAAACTGGAAACTGGTAGCATCTCAACAGATTCAAATTCTTTGAAATTTCTTCTCATTAATGCATAATCTCTTACACTATCCTGTAATTTATTTATCATTGAAATTTCTTTAGATGTCTGAAATTAAATTCATTTTATTGTTCATGCAAAATTTAAGAAGTAAGATCAATGGCTATTTGTGCCAAATTCTTTTGAATCTATTTAAACTTATATCTATTCCAGTAGAAGTCTTAAAAAAAAATCCTCACTGTGTTGTTGACGGTGGAATGTGCGGATAGTTTTCTATTTTGTTTCTGTCGTTTCTTGCCAAATTATATTGAAAGGTCAAGACTGTTACGCGAACTTATTTGTAGGGAATTTCTTGACTTGTTTTCAAAAAATGCATCCCATAAACGTGAAGTTAAAAGAAAATTTGAATCCCAAAACATTCAAAATTTTTAGTTCAAAACTCTTTGGAAATTAATATCACGATGAAACGAGCTTTGATTTTTGTAGGCTTGAACTTGAAATTATGGTCTCCCAGCGCGTTCGTTTGAATGACGCAAATCGCAGTTTCCTTGCCCGGCTGTATTGTAGTCGAGGTGGTCACATTAAACGTCAACCATCTGATGATCCGATTAGGAGAGTAGATGTTTTAGATTCGACTTGTGTTAAGAAAGACAGAGGTAGACCTAAGAAGACTTGGGCTTATTGTATTAAAAATGATCTTAATTTACTAGAACTAAATGAAAATATGACACTAAATAGGATGCAATGGAGAAAAATGATTCATGTAGCCGACCCCACGTAGTGGGATTAAGGCTTTGTTGTTATTGTTGTTGTTGTTGTTGTTGTATCTAACCTTGTTGTTGAGCTCATGAGGGTACTAATATGCTCGTAAGGCTTTGTTGTTGTTGTTATTGTTGTTGTTGTATCTAACTTTGTTGTTGAGCTCATGAGGGTACTAATATACTCGCAGGTTTTTCACAAAGACATGAAATCAAGCCATCTATGTACTCTTATTAGGAGTATAGATATATTGTTACTTCTTTGCTTGACAAGTTGTCCAAGATAACATATAAGCTCACGCATTACTCATCTCAATTACTTTACTCTTAAATTTAGCACAACCATAACATAATAAGCCATTAATTGTTGTTCGCAATTGGATATATTCCATGAGGGATATGGAATGTGAGGACCTTGCAAGAGAGTTTTAAACTTTGTTATTTATCAACAAATACAATATCATGAATAGTATATCATATCATAAGACAAAAATACTATGATAATAATTGGAGATTTCAAATTCTAGGTTCCAAGTAGGGCTGTCATAACGGCTCGTTATTCGCGAACGGCTCGTGTTCGGCTCGTTAAGAAGCTCGTGTTCGGCTCGTTCGCTAAGTTAATGAGGCGAACACGAAAAACACGAACAAATATTTGTTCGTTCGTGTTCGGCTCGTTTTGGCTCGAAATACTGCTAATCAATTATATATATATATATCTTTGATGAGTAGTATTTTAAAAAAAAATTAATTGACTACAAGGCTACAAAGATTTATAATCAATTAAAAGCATTATGAAGAAAATAGAATAAAAATTATTAATTTAGATTAAAATGATGTTTTAAATCTTGCCTCAATCCTTAACATCTTATGGCTACGTGATTAGGGTTGTCAAAATGACTCTTTGTTCGTGAACAGCTCGTGTTCGACTCGCTAAACAA